AACCTCTTTACCAAGATCTTTTGGGATATAGAGGATAAGAAGACTAGATGTAAGTGATGTAAGCTTTCAGAAACTATATTTGCCCATGTACCTCAGTCTAACAATATCAACATTTGAATGTGAAGATTGACCTAAATCTAATCCACTGCATCTTACAGGGTAAGATGCTGATTCTCAGCTGTTTTATGTTTGGACTTTAATTTTGAATGGTTAATTTATAGGCAGGAGAATATTTATTCTGAAAGCTATTAAGTGGTCTAAGCTCTTGGTTTACTGTACTGTTTTTGTTTCTTTCTTCCAGAGAAGTTCTGACATCAAAATGAGTATGCGGACACTCTTACACACACGAAAGCTCCAGAAAAAACTAAATTGAACTTGATGAATCCTAGCTGTCACTTCTAACAATCAGATCTGTTTAAATTAAAGTCTTTCCGTTTTAATGTTTCAGAAGACACTAGCAATAAATCGATTTTGAGGGCCATACAGAAACAACAGAAAACAAACTGCACAAATTGTTTCAAATGTGTTTTCCCTTTAATTAAATAAGAACCATCTGTTGGGGGGGGTGGAGGCATTTGGATGTGATCCATATTATTCCTCTGTTAATTTCCATCCAGCCTCCATTACTTTGAGAGAAATATGCATGCAAAACTGGGTGCTTTTATGCTTTAATGGGCAGAAGACTTGCTATACAGAAGGCTGCTAAATCCCAACCTTAAGCATATTTTAATTTTAGAAGCCAATGATGAACCAACTTGTATAAAATCAAATATGTATTTAAAACAACAACGAAAAAGAAATTACATATAAACAAAGAGATATAAAAAATTAAGAATGACAGATATAAAGAATTCCATTTTGGATCTTTGCAGAAATTAGTTATGTTTCTCTCCTAGTAAATCCATGGCAAGCTAAAAACTAAGCTAAAACATTTTTTTCTTTCCATAACTTTAATCTTTTCAAATATAACCTGGCCCAGGAAAATAAATGGATGGAAGGAAGGAAGGAAGGAAGGGAAAGGAAAGGAAAGGAAAGGAAAGAAAGGAAAGAAAGGAAGGAAGGAAGAAAGAAAGAAAGAAAGAAAGAAAGAAAGAAAGAAAGAAAGAAAGAAAGAAAGAAAGAAAGAAAGAAAGAAAGAAAGAAAGAAAGAAAATGCCATGTTCACCGAGAAGTGAAAGCATAGGTAGACTACAATTGGGATTGGTAACTCTGTTGCTAACTGCCATGGTCACTAAGTGAAAAATCATATGATCTCAACATATAGATCACTTCCTGTTTGATTGTTAAATGAATCACCACTCATTAAACAAGATATCACACGACTGTGACTTGCAATCTTACTTCTATGTTTTCCATTAACTCTGCTGCTTATGAAACAATAGAATGGAGTCATATAATGATAGGATGTAGGGACAATCCTAACTTAAGATGATTAGCTGGTAAGGATACTCCTGTCTTCTCTTAAGGGGTTGATGATATGCCCAGATCTTAAAGGACCATTGCTCAATCCAGCTAATCCAGATAGCTTTCATCCAGTTTCTAACAATCCCTTTTTAGGGAAGATTGTGAGAAGGACTCTGGATTAAAACAGATTACCATCACCATTTCGGTTGTAATTCAGGAGAGGATGTGGAATTGAGTGAGTACTGAATAAATTCTTCCTCTGTGGAAGCAGGATGGGAATGGTGTATCCATCCTTCCTCCTCTTGACCTCTCAACAGCTTTTGATACCATCAGTCATGATATCCCTTTGAACCATCTTTGGATTGGAGGTGGGTAGCATTATACTGTGCTGGTTCTCCTACTTCCTCTGGGCCAGGTCTAGTCAGTTTGGACAGGAGAAAAGAGATCCAACTCTATTGTATGGAGTGCAACAAGGCTCATCCCTTTCTCCCCTCATGATGAATATCAACATGAGGGGAGAAAGGGATGATCCATGTTGAATATCAACATGAGGCCACTGAGTGAAGTTACCCAATGGTTTGGAGTGAGATGTCATCAGTAGGCTGATGATACCCACTTTTATATCTCCATCCCAAGTCACCAGAGTTTTGCCATAGTCATCCTATCTCAGTGCCTGAGGCTGTGCAGGCCTGGATGGGTCACAATAGGCTTCAGTTCAACTAAGTGACTTTGGATGTTGGACATTCTGGTGCTAAGGACCTTTGATCTTTGGTCCTGGTGGAGTGGCACTCCCTCTGACAGCACTAATAAGTAATCTGGGGGGGGGGTTCCTCCCCATGGCTCCTGTTGGAAAAGATGATGGTAGTCATTTATACATTTTCAGATTATGTACCAGCTGTGCCCACTCCTGGACCAGAAAGCCCTGCACATTGTTACTAATGCCCTTGTGATCTCCTGTCTGGATTACTCAATGTGCTCTACATGGGGCTGCTCTTGAAGGGCATTTAGAAGCTTCTATTGCTGTAGAATACATGGGATTTTCTCACATTTTTTTTTAGGGTTGATTACTTTACACCTGTTCAGAGGCCTGTACTAGTTGCCATTGTGCTTCCAGATGCAATTCAAGGGGCTAGTTGTCAGCTTCATGGCTTAGGACCAAATTATCTGAAGAACCATCTTATACCAGTTTTTTGTGTCCATTCAAACTGGTCTGGCAGAATGAGCGTGCTCTCAGATCCCATCGTCCAGGGAATACCAGCTAGTGGGACCAAGAAACATTTCTTTTTTGCTGTAGCACACATTCTATGAAACATCCTTCTTCTGGATATTAGAATGGTCCTGACCCTGCTGGCTTTCCTAACAGTCAAAAGATTTGGTTATGTGCCTGGGCCAAGGCTTAGAGTGTGTGACAGATCCCATCTGCTGGCTGTGTTAAAAACCACAAATTACAACATGCTCTTTGTGTTATTTTATTTTTTGTTGTGTAATAGTAATTTGTGTGATTGTTCACCTGTTCACCTGTACTGAGTTTAGAGGCCATACAAACTGAATGAATGAATGAGCAAACAGACAAAGACTGGTTGCTAATCCTTTCTTTACACTGTTGAAACTTTGAATGGTCACTAAATGAGGCAGTAAAGGACTACCTGTATTTGTTTTAGAAGATGGTTCCCTTGCAGTACTTTCTGTAGTGATTGAGAGATGCACAGTGTTTGAGGTATTACAGAAGAATCAGTCTCTGAATAAACAGTCCCATATTACTGTGGATATGCAGACAGGACATTTAATATAAATAAGTATTTTTCAGATGCTTTGTATATCTTCCCCCAAAAGTCCATATTTTGCCCTGTTGCAATTGGTCCAGCAATTTTTAGAAGAGATATTAAAAATCTGGAGGAAAATGAACTAAAAATCTAACTCCTAAATGGGCAGGTGAATAAAATAGATTCCATTTACATCTAATCAAGTATAATCATACACTTTTGCTAAGGTGGAAGATATATAAGTCCAACTTTTGGACATCACTTTACTTCTCTTGGGACTCCTCTACACAAATTCTTCTGCACAAGGCGAAACAGCATATATATATATATATATATATATATATATATATATATATATATATATATATATATATATATATATATAGGTTTTTAGGTTTTGCTAACAAAGAATAAAGAGAGAATGGTATAGCTATTTCGGGTTCCTTTAACCCTCATCAGCCAAACTTACTCTTCTGAGATTCGAACCTGGGCTATCTGCATGTTAGGCAGATGTTATAACCTCTAAGCCACGGGTTCTCTCCCACTTTGTTAGCTACCAGGAGAGAGACAGGGGGAGGAGATTTTTACCTTGAATGAACACCCTGTCAGCCCAGATATGGGAGAAAGAAATCTTCTTTCTTTTCTTTTTTCTTTTGCCTGTATCAGCTCAATCTAGAGCCATCCACAAGCAGCAGTCACTAACTGTGACATCATTTTTACATTTTTAGGTTTTTGCTAACAAAGAATAAAGAGAGAATGGTATAGCTATATTCATATTCGATGGCTATATTGCTGCCATCATCGTCAGGGTGTTAAAAGCCAGAGGGTGGGGGAGCTCGTTTATAAGCACAAACGCGCCTGCACACGGCTCATAGACCTCGTTATGGGGCCCGGTCGATTGATCCTCATGTCAGAAGTATTTCTGAGTTCTAAGTTCTTGCAAGAACTTAGAACTCAGAAATACTTCTGACATGAGTGATGAAAGGATCAATCGACCGGGCCCCATAACGAGGTCTATGAGCCGTGTGCAGGTGCGTTTGTGCTTATAAACGAGCTCCCCCACCCTCTGGCTTTTAACACCCTGACGATGATGGCAGCAATATAGCCATCGAAAGCTAGGTTATTTATTTATTAAACATTTAATTGTTTTACCTCCTGGTGCTCGTTTTTATCTTTTGAATATATATATATATATATATATATATATATATATATATATATATATATATATATATATGTAGGTCTTTGGTTGTTCGGGTTTTCTCCCGCGTAAAATTGGAAGTGTCTTGGCGACGTTTCGACGAAGTCCCATTCGTCATCTTCAGGCTGGTGCTTTCAGCTTCGTGCTTTGAGATTGGAAGTGTCTTGGCGACGTTTCGACGAAGTCCCATTCGTCATCTTCAGCTGGTGCTTTCAGCTTCGTGCTTTGAGCAGCTGCTCAAAGCACGAAGCTGAAAACACCAGCCTGAAGATGACGAATGGGACTTCGTCGAAACGTCGCCAAGACACTTCCAATTTTACGCGGGAGAAAACCCGAACAACCAAAGACCTACATACAAATACCCGCGAAAACCTCAGAAAATATATATATATATATATATATATATATATATATATATATATATATATACACACACACACACACACACACACACACACACACAGATACATACAATATCCAAGAATTGTGTCTTCTTTAAAGAGCCACTGATTTAGATCAGACAAACTGACATAATGAACGGAACATCCAATCTGCGCGTACCTGAGACAATGATCAGTGGCACTGTTTGGTTGAACATTCCCATGCAAATGACACAGAAACAATTTACTTACTTTTATTATCAAAAGGGATCTGTTTGCACTCCACAGCTGGCCAAGGGCAATAGTAGACGGCGCCTCCTTCCACTATGTCTGGCTGGGTTGTGTTCGCTTTAGGAGCTCCAACTAGGACACTTACTCTGCAAAAGTGGTAAGGAAAAAAACACTAAGTATGAATCTGAAAGAGCCCAGGCAAGTTGCTTTGTTGACTGAGATCTGATTCCAGAAGTCCTTTTCTGATCCCAGACAAAAACCTTACACCTCAGTCAGGAAAAGAAAAGCATCAGTCAAAGCAAGACAAACAAACAAACAAATATAAAAAAAATCCAATCCCAAATAATATTTGTCAAATGGCAAAGATTGTCAAATTTATGGCACTGAAGAAGCATTAAATAACAATGTTTTTAGGAGGTGAGAAAAAGCAATACCAAAGCCGAGAAACAATGTTTTCTCATTATTTCCCTGGGCGTTTGTTTGGTTATAGAGCGCCAGGCACAGGGTTCTCTCTAGCTCAGATCACTGGGTTCCGGGCTAGTCCCACCATTATTGTTTACTATTTAGTAGTGAAGTGGAAGACTACTTTTTGGCACACAGCTACATGGTTACATGTTTTTTTTTAGGGTAAATGTGTGTTCCAAGAGAAATGTAGGAAGCATTGATGGAAACATGCATTCAGCTATTCTTCCTTTAAAGGCATTGCATTTTGTTTTTACTTTTATTCAAGGATTAAATTATCACAGAAACCTTAACATTTTTCCCAGTGGGTGAAAAGTAGATTCAAAGGGCTGAAGATTCTGAATTCCAAATTGGGAAGTCCCTAGTTTAAAAAGCTGCTATAATCAGACACCTCCCAGAATTTCTCAACAAGCATTAGCATCTCTGGGAGATATAGTCTATCTATATAGAGGACACCCAAATAGGTAAAAGCTGCTCTAAGCAAGCCATTTGCTTTCTTTTATCTTTAAATACATCTTTCCTACTTCACCTACTATACAAAGGGTACGTTTTACAGAATGGTTACAAGGATTCTGTCCTCGACTTACAATAATCCATTCAGTGATCAGTTGAATTTACAATGGCGCTGAAAAGAAGTGACTTATGACTATTTTTCACACTTACGACCATTGCAGCATGCCATGATCACGTAATCAAAATTCAGATATTTGGCAACAGGTTCGTATTTATAATGGTTGCGGTGTCCTGGGATCATGTGATTACCTTTTGTGACCTTCTGACAATCAAAGTCAATAGAGAAGCCAGATTCACTTAATTGTGTGCAGTGATTCACTTATCAACTATTCACTGTTGTCACTATTATTCACTATTATTTCATTATTGATTCACTATTATTACTATTATTATCTTTTCAATTGAGAGCCACAGCTGCCAGTTCTTTAACTAGTGTTGACTTTCATATATATTGAGTTCTTCCAAGAACCGAGGATGTCATCATGTATTGGCATAGTCTATGTGTGGATCCAAGCAGTGTAGCCTTTTGCAATTAAACAGATGGAAATTTTGTCCATGAGCAGATTTTCTAAATACCATGCAAGAATTTTTTGTATGGTAGCCAGTGTGCCGAAAACTCCTGGAACCACCACAGACGGTTTATGCCATAATCCTTCCACCACAGACGGTTTATGCCATAATCCTTTCATCTTTCATTAACATTTATTATAATATAAAGGATTATAAAAAATTAAAAATAGAGATGCAGGATAAAAAAGAAAGAAAACATTGATATCTGACTCTTTATTGTAGTGCAATATTAACTTTTTGCAGTATATTTAGCTATACTAGCCATTTCTGTAAGTAAACAATTATTCAATCTCATTTTTTTTCTATTTCAAGCATAAAAAAACAGAAGTGATTTACCAATGGAAATAAGACCGAGTAAAATATTTTCTTTGTTTAAAACAGTTTACATTGCCATCCCAACCAAATCCATTTTCCCCCATCCTTTTTTTCCATTGTGAGAAATAATACATCTTTCTATTCACTTATTAGATTTTCTGCCCTGTCATCTATAATAGCAAAAATCACAACACACTTTCAAGTTCTTTAACTAACAAACCAAAGGGGAAACTTCTTGTTCCAATTTTATATTCATTTTAAAACTCCAAACATTTTTAGAAATTATCATCTTTACAGTTAGAGTTACTTCTAATTCATTATTTTTAAAGGGATTTTTTTCTTTTAAATTATAATTTATTATTGCTCAAACATTTTTTTAAAAAACTTTTCATTTCTCTCTTCTTTTTAAATCATATGTACATTAGTAAATATATTTGTTTTCCAAATTCAATTTCAGTAATATTTTGTAGACCTTAGTGATAATTTATTCATGTCCTTTTCAGACCCACTTTTTATAAATACAAAACAAATCTTCCTTTTAATAACATGTGTTAAATCAATAAGAGACTGTCCTTTATTTCCATTTTGATTTTCAGATCTTAAGACCTTGTGATATTTTCCAATTCTTTGTCTTCTATCCTATTACCTGCTGGTATTGTTGCATAAATTATCCACACTTTCTGCTTTTCACCCACAGTTAAATATTTTGTGTTATGAGCCAAAACTTTATCAGTTTGTATGCAGGAATCCAAACAGTATTTTAACCTGCTCATTTTCAATTACATTTTACACTATATTTCCTACCACTTTTTCATTACTGGCACACAGATGACTTTGGCAACTGTGTTATGTCTTTGTTTATCTGACATAAGTTTGTTTATAAGTTTGTGCGATTTTCTTACATGAGATGAGTGTATGATTTACTGTTTCTTCTGCCTCTTTGCACAATCAGCACTTGGAATCATTGGATAATTTATCAAATCTGGTCTTGATTGCATTAGTTCAAACAGCCTAATCTTTCACAGCCAAAATAAAACCTTCAGTTTCTTTTTTTAATGTTCCAGTTGTAAGAGTGCAGAGAAGAGCAACAAGAATGATTAGAGGGCTGGAGCCTAAAACATACTAAGAACGGTTACAGGCATTGGATATGTCTAATGTAATGAAAAGAAGGACTAGGGGAGACATGATAGCAATGTTCCAATATTTGAATGGATCCTATAAAGACGAGAGAACAAAGTATTTTCCAAAGCACCAAAAGGCAAGACAAGAAACAATGGATGGAACTATTGTTCTACCAATGAGAGAAGCAACTAGAACTAAAGAGAAAATTCCTAACAGTTAGAGCAGTGGTTCTCAACCTTTCTAATGCCGTGACCCCATAATATAGTTCCCCATGTTGTGGTGACCCCCAAGTAGGTGTGGCCACCAATAAGAGGGAGTAGGATAGCTAGGGAAAAGGGAAAAAATGGCGGACAGCGTGGTTTGGTGACCCCCATGAAATGGTCGTTTGACCCCAAGTGGGGTCCCGACCCACAGGTTGAGAACCACTGAGTTAGAGCAATCAACCAATGGAATAGCTTGCATTCAGAAGTTGTGGGTGCTCCATCACTGGAGACTTTCAAAAAGAGACCGGGCAACCATTTGTCTGAAATAGTATAGAGTCTCCTACTTGAGCTGGGGATTGGACTAGAAGACCTTCAAGGTCCCTCCCAACTCTGTTATTCTAAGTCATTGCCAAGATTTATCTTAATCCACTTTCCCCCTGATATTTTGTAGAAATTGACCATGTAGTGCTTTTCCTTGCTGGTGTTCTATTTGTGTTTTTATTACATTTTCAATATTCATGATTTGTTTCCTATATATTCAGTAAGTCCCAACTTTTAACTTGTATCAATGCTTGTTCTTGGCTATCTTTTGCATAATCAGACAATACATGCTTATCCTTTTGACAGTTTGCTGGATCTCTAGAAAACTCTGTCTCTATTTTTGTGAGCAGGTATTATCTATCAATATCAATATGGGGATATAAAGCTTCATGAGCAGTCATTAGCTTTCTTATTTTTCAGTCCAAACTGGAAACTTGTGTCCCAGTTAATAATTCCAGCAGTGATTCATATCACAGGTATGGTCTTGATATAGTTTCCACTGTTCAATTTTGATTTTAACAATTTTCTTGCTCTTTGGATATGTTTCTTACTAATCACATTTTTGACCTGTTTGTGCTTGATATTATCCAACCATAAAATAATCAGATCCTTATAGGTTTCATCCTGATGACTCCTGATGGCCTGACCATTTAGCATTTTAATTCCATTACTATTTTTGATTGTACCTGTTTTAATGCTTCTATAGCACATTTCTCTAGGTCAATTACTATATCTATGCTGAAAATTCTTAGTCAACGACTAGATTTTGATTCCCAATTTTCCATAAGGCTCAGATCATCCACATAAAGCAAATGTGACATTTTTATTTGCAGTTTTTGCTGTTTGATAGCGAAGATTTGGTTTCTTCAAAACACTGAAAATGGAATCATGACAATAACAAATAATAAAGTCACTCTGGTAAGTGGTTTCTATTGTTAACAAGCTCCTATTTTTCAGTTCATTTTTCATTTCCAACCTTTATTTCTAATCTTGCTTCATCATTCTATAAACATTCCAATGATTTTATAGACACCAGTTGTTTCCAAACTTTTGATGATCCAAATATATGGTAATAAATTAAACATTTTTTATCAATACAGATGATATATATATTAGTTTTTCAGCATTTGCAATTCTCCAGAACTTTTATCAAAAGTTGGTATTTTATATCTGTGCTTTTCCTTTTATCTTCTTTCTGTTCTATTGGAGGGATCTTATTTTCTCCTAAATAATCTTGGATGTTATCCATTATTATACCTGTAAGTAATTTAAACATTTTAGGCAAGTATGTTATTGATTTATAGATTCCTGGTGTTGTCCCTTTTACTGGATTATTTTTGAATCAGATATGTTTTGCCAGTTGTTAACCTCTCTCTGATGTCTCCTCTATGCAATATTTCATTCAGCTGTTTAGCTATAATTGAACATAAGCTAGTTAGATATTTGAGCCAAAAACTATGCAATTGATCATTTTCAGGAAATGTCCAGTTTTTAATCCTTTTCACTTGATTTTTAATCCTTTCTGCAGCTATTATTAGGTTTTTTACTAAATTCATCTTTCAAGTTTGGACTATATAGCATCAAATCCCATCAATTTGTCCATTTGAAGAATGGCAAAAGGGTACAAAAAACTCCTTCCCTAAACCGATCATCAATACATTGAGGTCTTCCAGGATCCATTCAATGCCACCATGTTTCATAATTAGGATATAATCTTCAGAATCATTCAGATACTTGCATGATTCATTTCCCCACACAACGTCCACATTTGTATAGTCAATGTCCATTCCTAACATTTGGGGCACAATACCAGCATCCTCTACCTGTAGTATGAAATGGTGAGTTTAGCTGTAAATGGGAGCCACAGAGCAACAGGCCACAAATACACAAATAGAAGTTCTACTTTTCCCCACAAGACTTCATTTAAACATGCAAGGATATTCATTCATCCACTCATTTATGAAACACAAAGCAGTTTAGGGTAGAAAAAACAGAGAAAACATACATACCAATCTGGCTTCATTTCTATACTGATTTCATCAAGTTAATGACAATAATTCACCATTTGCAACAGAATGTTTTCTTGATGTCTAAGGATAGAGCCTACAATATACTTATTACTAGTGGAAAAACTGCTGGCTTCTAAAATCAGAAACTGATCATTTAATTTCCTATGTAATTAAAAGGGTAAAGACTCTCTTGAGTTGAACTCAATTTCTTGTGATTTTTTTGGACACATCTAAAGAATTTCCCTGGCAGCAATGGAAATAATTTGCCAATGCATTCTTCCAGTCTTCTACGGAATTGCATTCTACAGTCCTGGACCGTCCTGATAATCTTTCGCTCAAAATACCAAGTTCTACTCTGTTCTGACCCCTGTTCAACTGTTTGTGGAATCAGCCAAGGTTGTCTCGATGCTGCCATCTGCTGTAGTCCTGCTCAAAGAATACTATAAAGGTAATCTTAGACATATCAAATTCTAGGGTTGAAACAGAAGAAATCTATTATTCTTGAAGGTTCTTCTCTAAATCATATAAAGTATTGATAAACTGTTACTATCCAACTTTATAGGTAAAATGTATAGATGTGAAATCAATAAGTTAAATCTGGATTACCTCCAAAAGGGAGGAGATTATATCTCCCAAGATTCCCAGTCATGTAGCTGGAAAATTTGGTACAGATCTTTTGAGACTAGAGGGTCGGTGCATTTTTGGGAAAGACTGTACTAGCCTGAACTCTGAAGTAGAGGAATTGGCTTGCAACTGAACATCAGAACAAGCAGCTCATTACTATATGTTCCTCTACAACTTTCCTACTTATCTGCATAACAGTTTTATGCAGTTCTTCTGACTCTATTGAACTCATTATCAATTCAATCTTCTCTAGACGAAAGAGGTGTGTGGATTCCTGTGTGATTCCTCTACAAGACCATAGCTCAGCACACTAGTAGAGCTCAATTAAAAGATAGGAAGTGCTGAATTTGCATATATTTTGTTGGTGTCACTAAAATTCACAATAATTAGCAGAGCACTCATTACATTACATTACATTCCCTGACACTATAGGCAAAAAATGAAGATTGTTTGGATTGGGTGCACATCCACCACTTATTCTCTATTAAATATTTTTTTCAGAATCCCCACTATTTTAATTTATAGAACCTCCATGAACAACAGAATCTGTACTTTTCTGCTCAGAGTTCAATCGTATTGAATTCAACAATGCGGAATGCCAATTACGTAGATCCGCATTCTCTGATACGCCATCGCCACGAACATTTATTTGGAAATCTTGTCTAACAAGGGAGTTGTTTCCGGGCAAATCTGTGCAGTTCTGTGTTGCACGGTCACAGTCAATAGTGACTATGAGAATAACAACTTCATTGGCACTTCCTTGAGGATAGAACCACGTCTAGGATGGAGCTGGAAAAATGTAAGTATCGGCTCCGAATCGATCTAAACTCGTTATCTCCGGGGTTCAACTATACTATGACTTGCCTGGGTGAATCACAACGGCCGGCACCCATCCTCCTCTTGCAATTTCCAAGCGAAAACAAGCAAGGCAATTCTCGCGCCCATCAAAGAGGACCGCTACTTACGCATTCGGTGCAGGGCTGTAAAAATCCAGCGCGTATCCGAAATAACTGCCATCGGGTCCGCTGTACACGACGGGCTTCTCTTCGTCCAGGTTGAAGGCACTCAGCGGCCCCGCCAGCAGCAAAAGCAACGAGAGGACAGCGATGTCGCCTGCCGCGCAGCGCCTGCACCAAGCGGACGAAGTCGGCAGCGATGGCAACCTACGCCGCCGCCTCCACATCCTCCTGGCAACAGCTCCCTCGCTTCGTTTCTTTCTCCCACTCTCTCTCCTCAGTCTGAAGTAGCCAGCCAGGATTGGAAGCCGCCGCTGCTTCAAGCCTCACAGGGCTACCTCTGGCCGCAGCCGCCGTCCCACCGTCTCGCTTTGCGTACGCGCCGCCCGTCGGGCAAAAACTTGGCGAGGGAGGCACAAAGCCATTCGCTTCCAAAAGTTCGAGCCAGCCGCGCTTCTCTGAAGGAAGCTGGGCGTTTGTTGTGCCGCCCCCTGGTGTTGTTCCAGCGGGCGAAATTCAGGAACGGCGCAAGAACCCGGGAAATAGGTCTACTTTAAATTGAGAGGGAGGAAGGCAAGTGGCGAATTTGTGGGTTCCGTGTGCGTTGCCTCTGGTCGTGGTTTTTGCAGAGGCGTTTTTTCAGAGTTCTGCCTGAAACCACCAGCACCTCACCTCACGCCCCATCCACATAATGCACTACAAACCCAATACTATAATTGAGTTTACAGTGCGTTGAAGGGTTGGGAACAATAATCTCCGTCCCGGTTTTTTTTTTTCCTGCAGACAACAATCAGGCATTTACCACTATAGGCAGAACTAGAAGATTTAAGTCATATTTTTTAATCTTAATTTGCTGACGAAGGCACAGTTGGCTAGATTCATATAATCTCTTAAGACAAGATAACCAAGTAATCATCTTTGCAGAATATGAATGAATTCAATCGAAATATTGTGAATGTGAATATTCACATTTATACCTTACCATATCTCCTGATTGAAGTTACAACTGCATTGAAAAAAATGACTTGCAACAGGTGTCACATTAACAACCATTGTAGCATCCCCTATAATCACATGATCAAAATTGGGGCATTTGGCAACAGACATGTATGTATTTATGGCAGTGGCAGCTTTCCCAAGGTCATGTGATCCCCATTTCTGACCTTCCTAGTTGGCTTCTGACAAAGTCAATTGTGGAAGCTGGATTCACTTAATGATTGCATGATTCACTTAACAACTGCAGTGATTTGCTTGATAACCACAACAAAAGGGATTATAATATTCGGCAGGACTTACTTAACAACTATTAAGTTGGAACTTCTGGTTCCAGCTATAGTTGTAAGTCAACGATAACCTGTAGTTATGCCGAATTATCACAGGACTGATGCCTTATAAAATCAGCCACAATTTAAAGAGTTCATTCACAAATCTACAGTATATAAACTACAAGAGATAACCTTATATCTTTGAATAATGTCTGATACCAGATGAGGCAGAATCTTAAAACTAGTAAACATCCATGTGAATCTTATAGGTGATTCCATTGTTGACTTGTAAGATGAGCAGTCTCAAACTAGGGGGAATCCACCCTCAAGCAAACTGATTAACATTCCTTAAGAATTTTAATTCTGTCACTTATCATAATTTGAATTGAGATAACAGATTTTTATTCCTTAAAGTGTAAATTGATTTAATAACGATAAGCTACCTCTAGTCAAAATCTTATGTAGACCAATATCACTGGTCTATATTATACTTGGTGATAGACTGATTCTATTCTCCATAATTCTGGATAGATCCTTTGTTTTGGAGTTCTCTTTGATGATCCCTGTTGCAATTAATTATATGCAAATAGGAGTTTTAATTGATCACACTTGTCTCTATTCCTTTTATTTTATTCTTGTGATGCCCTCATTTTCTTTCTCTTTCCTATCCTTCTTTCCTCTACTCCTTGCATGCATGTGTATATTTGGTATCTGAAGGGGGTCTACATGTTTCAGAGGAGGTAGATTCTGTGCACAAGAACTTCTGTAAGCATTGGGCAATATATGACTTAGTTTGAACAAAAAATGAAGGACACAGGAATGGCTGGTTGGTAATCTTCCAGATGTTATTGAACAGGAGAACTTAGAAAGCCATACTGTATGTTGGCAACTTTGGTTTATGTTTTTTTTTTTCAAAGTGCTGTAAGTCTCTTGGTCATTTACAGCTACAGACCCTATTTTGTTATGAGACTGTTTCTTCATATTGCTTCATTCTGTGATGATCCCTTTCATCAGGGGCCATATTCAGTGATAAGGTCTGAAGTTAGACTTTATAAATGAAAGTCTCAGAGTAATGGGAGGATCTTCTTCTTAGAGTCCCCTGGAAAGCTGCACTGAGTGTGAGTAGACTTACACTTCAAACTGTGCCATGCAGTAGAGCAAGGAGGGAAATTGGGAAATTCTCTTGCACCTGAGAACTTTTCAGATTTAGACTTAACAAGCAACAGGATTCTAGTCAAGATTAGTCCCTCTGGAAACATTGGTTCTGGCTGTAAATGAAATTCTATATTTTCCACCTTCCTGTTACAGCTTAGTGAAAATTGGAACATGACCTAAGTCTATTTCCATCCACATCAGCTTATCCTGCAATTCTGATGAGACAAAACTAAAAAAAAGGAGAAAAAAAATTAGTAAATAAACACTTAGGAGAAAAGCTGGAGATTATGTACAGTACATACAGTATATGAACGGCTGAATGTGCTTACTGAAAGCAGAATAACTTGATCATAGCCAGCAACTACAAAAAAAATTGAATTTATTTCAAAGGTTAAGTGTCCTGCCCTGAGCTGTCATCACCAACTTGTAAGGGCTCACCATATTTTACTCTGAGAATCTCCCTTCAACTGCAGTGTTAGCTGATACATAGTCAGCTGATACATGGTCGGAGGGCTATTCTACGGTGAAATCAACAAATCAACTTCCCAGAGCAGAAGGAAGAGAGTCACAGATCCTCTCTTTAATTCAAGATGGGATGGGTGATTAGCACAACTGAAACAAAAACACAACACAGCATCTTCATCTCAATTACTATTAACTTTTTTAAATAGTGGGAAGAAAAAGTGCTTCTTTGTTTAAAACTCATGTTGAAAATTAAAACAAAAAGGAAAACTATGCTTAGTTCAACAAAATAATTGGAGAAAAGACAATTATGAGGTTCTAAGTTAATCATCTTGGAATATTTGATAGGCTATCACAGTGGTTCTCAACCTGTGAGTCAGGACCCCATTTGGGGTCGAACGACCATTTCACGGGGGTCGCCAAACAATGCAGTCCGCCATTTTTTCCCCCTTTTCCTTAGCTGTGCTACTCCCTTTTATTCTATTGGCTTTTGAAAGGCAATAGAATAGACTCTTTTGAATAGAGTCTAATTCTATTGGCTTTGAAAAGCCAATAGGAATTGTCCACGCTGTCTCTGCCCTGCTGAGCCTGCCAAAAGTCCCATTCTGCAAACAGTGCTGCAAGTTGTCTGCAGCGAAGGTGAGCTGTCTAGAAGTTTCCACCCCTCCCTGCTGAGCAACTACTAAAAATGTAAGTAAAAGAGAGCCAGGGGTGGGAGGTGGGAGGCCGGCAGGCGCAGGGAGGGTTGCTGGCACGCGTGGGGCCTGGCGGGTGCCTTATCTCCCTTGGGCTGGGCCAGCTGGTGGCCCAGCCGGTGGTCGCCCTGCGCCGTCTGTGCCCCTTGCCAGTTACGCCCCGGCCGGCGCAGGGGGCAGCACCACGCATGCACGGTGCTCCCGGGCAGGGAAAGTCCTTGACTTATGACCGGTTGGGTAGTCCTTGACTTATGACCAGTTGAGTAGTCCTCAACTTACAACCGGTTGGGGGTCACAGCATTAAAAAGGTTGAGAACCACTGGGCTATCAAGACAAGAATGGAAAATATTTCTGCAGTTTCAGAAAGTACAATCCAATGCAATTGTCTCAAAATATATAAAAAAAATCAGACTAAACATTAGGGGGGAATTTAGCTGTTTGAGAGGGAACAGACTGCCTGGAAAGTGGTTGAACACCATTCCATGAATCTTTAATGAAAAGGTTGGCCACCTCATTGAATATATAATTAATCGATCTTTATTGGGGTGGACAACCTTTGCATGTCTTTTGCATGATCTTTGAATTCTCTTCTAAATATCTTATGCTAAATGTATTTATTTGTGACATTTTTAGATTGCCTAGCAACAGCAGTATTGTGAACAATGTACACAAAGAACCAAACATATAAAACCACAATATAATTATAATGAATGCATGAAACAAAACTGGCAGGGTAAAGTAAAAACAATGCAGTGTATAATAAAATAAACTGAAATATTAAAACATTGTAAAATCTCTAAAATCTGAAAGTTCTTAAAATGCCATGTGTGCATATGCCTATAAAGCAGTTTTCCTTCATCATTGAGAATATAATAAAGTAAACAGATGTTCAGAGATGGTCTATGAATATGGGGATAGATAAACTTTCAGGTACATTGTCCCTAACATTTACTGTTCTAACTTAGTGATTTAATGGACTAAGAGAAGAGAAATTAATATTTTTCTTTATATATTTCAAGATCATATTACTTTATTTCTTACCCAAAGTCATAATGTTTATCACTACACTGGAAACTATCACTCTGAATTCAAAATCCTCAGTTTTTTAAAAAAAGTGTTCATTCTCATCTTTAATCTAACTCTCTAATGACATAATGGAAAGACTGATCAATATGAATCCAAATGGATAAGATTTAATGGGTTTTTCAAAAGGTTATTCAGTTTTTCATATAAATTAGAATACACATGGCTGTTTCATTGTTTTTGTCTTTTTCTATCTTTGTACATAGAAATATTTGCTTTGTAACTTGTAGTTATTTTTCTAATTTTTCTTTTTTTAATTATAGTATCAAAATATTAGTCTTCTTTTATAAGACTGATTATGTTGGCAGTCAACATAGATAGCAAAGATTTTCCTTTTTGTTTCTTCTTCTGAGAATACTTTAATTGCTTTCAGGATTTCTTTTCAATATTGAGGCAAAATAGCAGACTTATTATTGGTGTCCACAGCGTGTAGTAAAAAAAATAAAGAAGGAACCCATGATAATGGTGAGATCAAAGCTATGTCTGTTTTTTTTATGTGCATTAAACGCATAATGCTCATAAAAAGAGGGTGAGCTTTGATTGCATCATTGTGACTGCCATCTTTACTTTTTCTGATAATACCCTGAAGACAATCCTGCAGTTTGCATAGCTTTCCCTCACTCTTGGCTGACTTCTTCTGTGAAAGAGTTTTCTTATAAAGTCTTCCCTTGGGATTTAATTGAAAGAAAAAAGAATCCAAGATAGCACATTCATACCTATCCTTTGGTCATCCTGTTAGCTAAGAAAAATAGAAAACAGCTTCATCTCATTACAAAAATTATCCTGAAAGTATTCTTGGCTTTGAAAAAGTTCTGAAAGCATTTTTCCCCATTAAGCTCAATAAGAATGATGGGAAAAAAAGAAAGAAATGTTGTTTTGTACCAATGTGACATATAGCACAATTACACCAGCATAGTAGTGTATCAAGCTATCAGAAGGGACCAGAAGAAAATGTAGAAAGCACATCAGTTAATTCAGATGCCAATGAATGCTGTCTACTTACTTGAGCAACTGACCCCAAAGCTTGTGCTGATCGGTTCTGCTGAACTACACTATGCAGCATCCATATCCATTAAGACTGGAAAAACCTTT